TATATGAGACCAAACGGTGAACATTTACCATAAAGCAAAGATGAGAAAGTCAGGACAGGGAAGCTAGATTAATGGAAACAGAACAACCAGAAAGGAAATAATGAGAATGTTGACACATTGTGAAACATGTAACCAGTGTCACTGAACAATGTGTATAGAAATTGTTAAATGGGAACCTAATTTGCTGTGTAAACTTTCACCAAAAACAGTAAAATATTATAAATAAGTAAATAAAAGAGGGAGAGAGAATAATCTCTCTGTATTTGTAAATGCAGAGATTCTGGGGGGATATGCAGGAATGGGGGCTGGAGGGACTGGTGGGGAGACTTTTCACCGCAGGCTCTTTTGTACCTTTTCAAATTTGAGTCATGTGACTGTATTACCTAGCCAAATAAATAGTAAAACTAAAATTCAACATTTTTTCAAAAGCAACCATTTCTCTATTGCCTAGCAAGTCATTTCTGCCTGGAACGCTTTTTCCTCTACGGGCGCCGCAGCTCAGGGTGGGGGTAGCGACAGGGAGGTTCGAGGCTGACCTCTGCGTTTGAACACTTAGGAGCCGCAGCCCTCCATGACCCCTCCAAGCCCTGGGGACACACAGTGAACACAGATAACACAAGGCCTCCCTCCACAAGCTCACACTTACCCACAAGATAAGCCAGAACGCCAAACCAAACCCGCTACTGTCGAATCGACTCCGACTCATGGCAACACCGCGTGTTTCAGAGCAGAACCGCTCCACCGAGTTTTCTCGGCTGTATTCTCTACGGACGCAGACTGCCACAGCTTTCTCCAGTGCAACAGCTGGCAAGTTCGAACAGCCGACCTTTCAGTTAGCAGCCAAGTGCTTTAACCACTGTACCACCAGTCACACACAAGACAAAGTCATAAATGCTTAAAAAATTTACTCAGAGATAGGAGAAAACTAATGAGAGGGTGAGACAGAAATAACACAGGGTGGGGAGCCCTACTTCAGAGGTAACATGGGAGGATGGCAGAGACCCAAAGGGTGAGGAGCTGGACAAGAAAGGTATGCCTGGCTGAGAGGGACCAGCAAGTACAATGGCCCAGAGACAGGAGGGGCTCGGCTGCTGGAGCTGAGAGAAGACAGAGGGGACTGGGCTTCCCCTCACGCAGCCTCGGCTGCTTCCCTGTAAAAACGGGCTATGTCTGCCTCACCCTCTCCTGGGCTTCAGGATGAAAGGAGATCATTGACAGAAGGTGCACATGCAGGCCCGATAAAAGGAAGGTAAAAAAAAAATAAAAATTAAGTCACAAATAATGCCCCATCATCTGGAAAGGGCACTTAAGTGGGAGTTGGCTTAGAATCTTTCACCAGCTGAGCCAGTTTCTGCAGCAGGGCAGCTGGGGAGAGATCATACCAACTGGCTTCTGGGTGTAGTCAACAGGCCTTTCTAGCTTGGCTTATCCCCAAGGACCAAGGGGAAGTTCAAAATCCACATACCAACATCACAGCACTGACCCTGGAACAATCAGTGCCCTCTCTGCCTCTCACTCCTTCAAGCCACACCAGCCTCCTACCCCACCGAGCATATCTAGCTCACAGTACCCCAGGGCCCCGTCAGTCCCCATCTGGGATGCCCACCCACTGTATCTGCCCACAGCTGGCTCTTTCTCATTCAGGTCTCAGCCCAAATGGCCCCTCCCAAGAGAGACCTTCTGCGAGGTCCCAGCTACGGCAGCCACCTCCACCCCTTGATCACGTTCCAAATCATTCTCATTTTATTTCCTTCAAAGCACACTGGTTAGCAAACTACAGCCCACAGGCCTAGCCCACTGCTTGTTTTTATACAACCTGTGAACTAAAAATGATGGATACATTTTTTAACAGTTGAAAAAGAATATTTTGTGATATGTGAAAATTAAATGGAATTCAAATTCCATTTAAAATTTTACTGGAACTCTGCATGCACATTTGTTTACATATTTATGGCCGCTTTTGTGTTGTATGTCAGAGGCAAATCATTGAGACCGTATGGCCCATAAAGCCTCAAATATTTACTATCTGGTCCTTTACAGAAAAAGTTTGCCAACCTCTGCCTTCACAGCACTTAATACTGTGTTAGATAATCTTGTTTATATAATTTTTATATCTTGTACATGGCTTGTCTTTCTGTAGAGAATGTAATGTCCATTAAAAGCTTGTGTCATCTAAGATTCAACTATTGGTCCCTTAGCAGCCCTGGTGGTACAGTGGTTAAGAGCTTGGCTGCTAACCAAAAGGTTGGCAGTTGGAATCCACCAGCTGCTCCTTGGAAACCCTATGGAGCAGTTCTACTCTGTCCTATAGGGTCGCTATGAGTCACAATTGACTCAGTGGCAATGGGTTTATTGGTCCCTTACCACCCAGAGCAAAAAGAGAATGAAGACCCAAGGGAGCAACTGGCCCAGGGGACCAGTGGATCACATGAACCACAGCCTACACGACCTCAAGACCAGAACTAGATGGCGCCCAGCTACCACTATCGACCACTCTGACTCAGATAACAACAGAGGGCTCTGGACAGAGTGGGAGAAAAATCGCAGAACGAAAAATTCACAAGGAAGACCAGCCTTACTGGTCTGACAGAGACTGGAAGAACCCCCAAGACTATGGCCCTAAGACACCCTTCTGAACTGGAACTGATGCCATTCCGGGAGAACACCCTTCAGCCAAACCACAGACGGACCCATAAAATAAACAATAACACCCGAGAGGAATGTGCTTCTCAGGACAATTATACGAGATCAAAAGGGCAACGTTTATACAAAGGCAAGGATGAGAAGGCAGGAAGGGGTAGCAATTCAGGATGAAAGGAAACAGGGAATCTAGGAAGGAAATGGGGGCAGCGCTGGCACATTCTGGGGAATGAAACCAATGTCATGGAACACTTTATGTACAAACGATTGAATGGGAAACTAACTTGCTCTGTAAACTTTCACCTAATGCACAATAATAAAAAAAAGAACATAACGTCCACTAGGGCAGGGATCCGGGCCCCCTTGCTCACCACTGTATCCCCAGGAGTTAAAATCCCACTAGGCACATGGTTGTTAGCTGCCATTCAGTGGGCCTGTGGTTCATGGTGACTCCAAGCACGAGGGAGGAAAACGCTGCCAAGACCTGCGCCATCCCCATGATTGGTTAAGTATCAGACCACTGTGATCCATAGGATTTTCCCTGGTTGATTTTCAGTAGATCACCAAGCCTTTCTTCCTAGTCTTAGTCTGGAAGCTCTGCTGAAACCTACTCGACATCATAGCAATACATAAGCCTCCACTAACAGATAGGTGATGGTTCTGCCTGAGGTGCACTGGCTGGGAACTGGACCACGTCTCCAGCAGGGGAGGTGAGAATTCTACCACTAGACCCCTAATGCCCTCTGGCACATAGTAGGTCCTCTGGAAATACTAGAGTGACTGAGCAATTGCTGCTTCCAGTAGAATATCAGCTCCACAAGGACAAGGATGGGACCTCGAGTTCCTCACGGCGTCCTCAGTGCCAAGACAGCGCCCAACACATACACAGCAGTTGTTGTTGCTGGGTTCTGTCAAGTTGGTTTTTGACTCAGCAACCCCATGTGACAGAACAGAACTGCCCCCTAGGGTTTTCTAGGCTGTAACCTTTACAGCAACAGATCGCCAGGTCTTTCTCCCATGAAGCAGCTGGTGAGTTCGAACCACCCCTTTTCTGGTTAGCAGCCCAGGCTTAACCATTGTACCACCAGGACTCCTTACATACAGTAGTAAGTAGCAGGTACTTAATGAGTATTTGCCAATCACATCGGTGAGTTTCTCCCCATTCTTCCAAACTCCCCTGAAGGCCATATCGAGTCTCAGTACTTGGCAAGAAGGTGCTCATGGGGTAGATCTTTTCTGGAGAACCAGTGGATTCCAGACAGAGGACTCTGCTACGCAATAAACCAAATTAAGCATCCTCACACACTTCCGACAGCTTTCTCCTCCTCCTGCCCTATCCTCTTCAGCCAGGCTGAGTCACGAGACCAGGGTATGCTTGGGCAGAGCCACAGCCTCACGCCGCCCACTCAATTCCTGTCAGCTCAGGCCTCCCTCCTGGTCACCGATGGACAATTCCCTCCCCTCCCAGGGACCGACCAAGGATTTCCCTTCCATTTCACATCTGTCAATAAATCCCAAGGATTCAGCGGTAAAGAAATGAATTTGATACATATGAGGATGTAGAAGAACCTTGCAAACGTCATGTTGCGCTGTGTGACATTAAGTCAGACTCAAAAGGACAAACACTTTGATTTCACTTTTATGAACTTTCTTGAACAGGAAACACAGAAAGTTTACCAGTGGTTACCAGGGCTCGGGGGAGGTGTGCTGATTAAGACGTACTGGGTTTCTGTTCGGGGTGATGAATTTTGTCTGGAAATCAACAGTAGTGACGGTTGCACAGCATGGTGAGTGTGATTAATGTCACTGAAATGTAACATCGGTTGAAACAGCAAATTACATGTTTAAACACAACTTAAAAACAAAAATCAAGTGTTTTCATATAGGGCAATAGAAGGGACTAGCACAGTACCTGGCATGTGGCACGTACTTAAATCGTTTTTGAATAAATAAAAAAACGTCAAGGAACCGGACTTCCCCAGGACAGCGCCTGTGGGGGCCTGATCTGCAAAGTGCACCCACCTGGGGGGGAAGGGGGGCCCCAGCTGCTCGAGTCCCCTCTCCTGTGTTTGATGGTGCCAACCTCACGTGGCCATCTCGACCCCATGGAAAACTCCAAGTTTGAGGAAGACCAAGCCCTTTTTCCAAAACAGTTTAATTAAAAAAAGGTGGAAGATCTGAAAAAAACAGGGGGAAACCCAGAAGAGCAGACGGGGGGAGTGCACTGCCTCAGTCACAAAGAAACACTGTCATCAAAAAAGATATTTAAGTTTAATACAAATTTTATACAAAGAAAATGTGAAAAAATACTTCCATATGCTAAAAGCAATTATGCTTCACAAATAAGGCCAGCTAGGCTATTTTTTTTTTTTTTTTTTTTGACAACTGCAATTCACAAATGTTCTTCTCGCTTTCTTCTAATACTCTCTTTTTATTTCTTCTCTAATATGGGTAACTAGCTGGAAACTGTACAGTTCTCATCCTCTTATCAACAATGAAGAGAAAGTAAACGAGACTAAAATGTACAACAAAATGTACTGGAATGATATCGTACAATTAATTTTCTCATATACATACATCACCTCTTGTTCAATGCTGTTTTACACAACATACAAAATGATACTACAGCATACGTAGTGTCACAGACAGCATGGCGGGGGTCTTGCTTTCTCTCATACTGCCTTGATTTCATGCTTACACAAAAACGTAAAATTCCATCATATAAATAATACATACATGCTTCATCCCAGACTCAAATGCCCTCTGCGCACACCTTGCCTGCGAGTTCTTGCTTCAGAGAAGCGCAGGATCTCTTACGAAGTGTTTGTGAGTGGGTTGGAAGGAACCACAAAGCAAAGCAAAGGTTTCTCTCTTTCGGAGCTTGGGACCTAACACTTGCTATCCTCTCCTATGCAACTGAGCTGCGCGGGGCTTTTCTCTGCTTCTCTGCTGTAAACAAGGATATTTTTTTTCCTCTTTTAGGAGTCGAGTCATTGTTTAAATCACACAAAAGGAAATAACTTCTCCACATGTCCTTCTGGTCCGGAGAATTCCCATTCTATAACGTGGTAATGCAGGATTTGAAAGGGGCCAATGGCTGATGTGATGTGCCCGTGACAGCAGTCTGTGCTGAAACTCCTGATCCCAGTGGGCTGTGTACAGAAATATGAACGAAAATGTCACTTCCTCTGGGCCACCAAGGAAGATGAGCTGTAGGCCCCAGCAATCCCCCTGGCCCAGTGTTCCATATACGTCGTGACAGACGGGCAGACTGACCACCCCTTCTCCAACATCAAAACATTCTATTTGTTGTTGGTTTTCTTTTTTAAATTGTTTTTTTTTTTTCTTTTTTTTATAAGTTAAAGTCAATACAAATATAAAAAGGGGAAGGTCCTCTAGGTTCAATGACATCCACAAATTGTACATTATTTACATCTAAAGCATACGTTTCATGTGGGTTGAACAGTCCTCGGTCAAAGCTAATGCTGGACACTGTAGTGTGGGCTGCCCTCTGCGCCGGCAGCAAAGGCAAAGTCTGAACGTTTGGAATTCTCAAGTCTGAAGGGGGTTGTTCTCATGTCTCACACTGCTTTTCTGTTTCCTGTTTTGCTCTGGAGTCTGTTGAGTTTTATTTTGAATGGCTTCTCTCGGTTTGTCCCTAGTCCCAGAAGGTGTCCAGCCGAGACTCTTTCGGGATGAGACTCTTGGTGCTGGCGTTGTGCTCGGAACGTGCTGACCCCCGCTTCTCCTCGCTGCTGCTCCAGCAACTGGACTTGCTACTCCGGGAATGGTCTGCGGAGGAGAGCCAACAGGGAGGAGGTTTAGCGTTCCTGCCCACCTCCATGGAAGCGTAACCCGCCCTCAACTCCATCTAAACCCCCTCTGGGAGGCCACCTTCCCCTCCCAGCTCCAAACAACACTGATGGTTAAAACACTAAGTGCCACCATTTACTTCCCTAGATGTGTGATTCTGCAGAGTACCAGGCAGGAACAACTGAATTTCCACAGGATTTAGTAAGAGCTGGTTGGAAAACCAGTAGAATGTCATGCTCACAGAGAATGAGAGAGAGAGGTACCAAATACAAGGCCTTTCTTGTGCAGTACTTTGAACCGCGTATCCATATTACATGACTGAACGACACCAAGCAGTGTCCACCCACCCACTCTGATTCCAATCTTGGCTGCTGCACAAAGGCGCCAAAGTCTGGCATTCAATCTGCTTCTTTACATTAATGGAGTATCTTTGGTTAATTTATTGACAACTCGTAAAATGGACTTTTGTCCAAATCCCACTTGTCCAATCATGGGAGAGGGTCAAAAAAGAGAAGGAATGTGGATCCAGGTGGTTAAGCCCACCTGGGAACATAGGACTTCTTGTAAGGAAAAGCTTAAGGTCACTGAAGGATGCAAAGCAGAGTAAGACCCAAGATGACTTCAAGGATGTTATGTACCTCAAGGAGCAAAACAGCAGCTGAGTAAGAAATAAGGAAGCTGAAGAAGAGCCAATGAGGTGTCTGGAAACAGCACATCAACTACCGAAGGCCTGGGCCCGAAGGTCAGCGGGATGGCTGACTCAGAGACCTACCAGCAAACCACGAAGATCCCATCATAGATCACTTACCAAGTTCAGACAAGTTAGGAAAAAAGGCCTGTGCTGGGGGCACTAGGAAGAATGGGAGGACAGAGCTTAGTCCACCTGCATCACAGTCAGGCCAGCCAGCCAGTGACCTGCCTGCCTTACATCTCAAACAGCCAGGAGACAGGGCAGGTCAATATGCCTAATCCCTGCAGGGGAGAATTGGGGTTAACCTAGGACACTGTAGGAAAAGGGCAAGCATGATTCTCCTTAAGAGCCAAACCTTTCCTCCCAGCTGCAATTTGTGGAGTCCACCAGAGGCACAGCGATAAAGAGACACAGCAAGACCCACCACTCCAAAGAACAAAGACACACTCACAAAAAAACACCACATACATAACACACACACGTGTGCGCCTTTCGCATGCCTGGAAAAAGGTCCCGGCAGCTTCTGTGAGACAGGGTCATACTTAAACTTCTGGGCTGGGTAGCTGGGGTGCGGCTGGTGGTCTGTGGTGGTTGGGGCATAGGCGGGTTGCGTCACACCTGTTGCTAACTGCAGAGATAGCACAGGGAGCCTCAGAGTCTGTCGGTGAGCTCAAATTCCACATAACCCCAAGTGCTCGCTACTTTCGTTCATCAACCAAAAACAAACCACATAGATTCCGTCACATCGATTCCGACTCAGAGCGACCCTATGGGACAGAGTAGAACTGTCCCATAGGATTTCCAAGACTGAAATCTTTACGGGAACAGACTACCACATCTTCCTCCAGTGGAGCGGCTGGTGGGTTCAAACCGCTGACCTTTTGGTTAGCATCCAAGCAATTAACCACTGTGCCACCAGGACTCCTTAACAGGCTACTGTTATTAGACGTTCTTCAACTTAATGCATTCACAGGAGACAGGTGACTTTTCAAAGAATACACATCAAACCATGAAACAGGATCACTGAACACAGCACGGCATTTTTACAGGTAAGAAATATGCGCTATGATGACATAAAAGCAACTCAGCACTTCGTAAGCCACAAATTGTCAGGATCTCAAAAGTTCTGCCAACAGCTTAATTGAGTGAGGAGAAACAGAGCAGCTAGAATCACACTAAGGTTCAGGGCGCCACCCAAGTGATACTGAGAACGTCTACCAATCTATGTAACTAATCTACTGCCAAGGGTGATGCCAGGGTGGGGAAGTTAGGGTGGAGAAGGTGCATGTGGATTGAGGAAGGGGCTACAGATGAGGTGTCAAGAGAGCTAAATCCTCACTGCCAGTGTCCTCAGCAGGACACTTAACACGTAAACCTGAAATCTGAAAAGTCAAAGCAATAACGATACAAAAGGAGTCTCAATACTTGATAGGGTGAAGAGCTTGGTAGGGAAATAACTGAAGATATGATAAAGGAGGAGAAACAGAAACTCCAGGAAAAAGTCCAGCTGTACAGGAATGGAAATGTGTAATCACACTATAATATGTGACTCTGCAATGAACAGCATGATCATAATGCAAACAAGGATTACTGCATTTCAACTTTTTATACTCAGTCAATGGACAATAGGAAGAAGACTTAATTGCAATTATAAAGCAGCATGCACATATTCTTAACCTTGAGGATGGAAAAGTAACAGCAGAGATGATGGCAAATCTGGACATAACAATGGTAGGAGAGTAAGGGAAGAGATGGGCTGCCAAAGACGGGTCAAGTGATAACTCTAGCTGATGCAACAGGAACTAAAGAGGTTAAGTCTTTGACCAAGGTAACCTATAAAAACCAGTTGCCATCAAGTCAACCCTGACTCATGGCGAACCCATGTGTGTCAGACTAGAAATGTACTCCACGAGGTTTTCAATGGCTGATTTTTCCGGAGGTGGATCACCAGGCCTTTCTTCCCAGGTACCAGCGGGTGGACTCGAACCTCCAATCTTTCGGTTAGCAGCCAAGAGCATTAACCATTTGTACCACCCAGGGACTCCACAGAGCCCTTGAAACAGTGACATAAGCAGTTTGGGAGAAGAGAGGTCATCTAAATGAGGTCAGTGTTCATCATTTAAAGTCAGAAGTGGGCAAATAATATCTAAAGATAATAAGCCAAGAAACAGAGATATAGGGAAGTACAAAATTTAGAAACAAAGAGGGAAATACCAGAAGAACCAAAAAACAGAGTCTGTTTGGCTTTCTGTACAATTTTATTTCCTCTAACTATATGCATGTATTGCTTTGATTAAAATCTTAAAATTAAAAAAAAGGAGAAGCCTATGGCCACACACCAAGGAAGCTCATTTCCCTGTGAAAACTGTCTCCCTCCCAACTAGACTCCCCACTTTACATCCTGGTACCAGATGCTTATAAACAACTCAGAAACCTGAATGTTTTTAAAGCCCGCCTTCCTCCAGGATATTTCATCTGCATTGTCACTGGAAAGCAAGAGCTAGCAGAAGTCAGACGTACGATCGATTAGAAAGGGTCTGAAAACGAGTATGTCTTTCTGCTTTGACACAACCATCAGCACAAACAGCTTTGGTGAGAAAAGAGGGGAAAAAAATTAGCAAGCATGGACGTTTTTAATTCTAAATGTTGTTTTAAGATCTGGATCACTGACAAGTCCATGTTGGTTAGAATCATGGAATTTCTGTCAGAAAGGATCTTCTCTACAAGTCTTCAGTAAAGAAAGAAGAGGACCCAGAGCCACGTTAAGGATGTCCACTCACGTGTAGGGCTTGGAAACAGGCCAGACAGGAAGCGTGTCAGGAAAGTGGGAGCCCTGTGGACCCCACTGTCGGAAATTGGAGGGAAAAGACCGTTTCTCGGTCGGTGCTGCAGCGATATCCCGGAGTCAGAGAAGGAGAAGCAAGCGGGGAGATCCTTCAGGACTACAGCCCACGGGACAAAAAAGCCCAATGCCTGTTTTGTAAATCGAGTTTTACTGGAACACAGCCACGCCTGTCATTTACATATCACAGACGGCTGCTTTTGCAACAAGAGCAGAGCTGAGCAGGTTCGTCAGGTGGTGTGGCAACTGCAGAAATAATTCACCGACTCCTGGACTAGGTAATACCTTGTTGGCCTCAGAGCTGGATTATGATGCGTTTCCCGACTACCTTCCTGAGTGGTGGTAGTATTGTGTGCCCTCCAGTCAATTCCCACTCATACTGACGCTATAAAGACAGAGTAGAACTGCCCCCTAAGGTTTCCTAGGCTATAATCTTCACAGGAGCAGATCGCCAGGTCTTGTCTCCCACGGAGCTGCCGGGGTGGGGGGTGGGGGGTTTGAACCGCCGACCCTTCTGTCATCTGGTTAGCAGCCACCCTCCTGATTCTGGCATAGTCCGTGCACCACAGCATTATCTACCTCCCCAAATTCCAAGCTGTCACTCTGCTGCTGCAAAACCTCACCAGCACCCCCTTGTCTGAAGCAGGGTGTCCCCACACTTGGACCTCTCTGTCTCACTACCTTTGCAATTTTTGACACATCCACAACTGACCTACATATTACAATGAAACCTGTGAGAGCCGGAACTCAATGGGACTGCCTTGTTTTTACAGGCCTCCAAAGTTTTCCGCTTTTGACAGGGTGCAGCCTTACCACTTTTCTACCACTCGTTTTAGTGGAAAATATTTGCGATTTCCTTCTCTGACAGGTTTCCACCTTACACAGGTCTCGCCCTTCACAGGTTTTACTGTACTTCATTTTTTTTTAAACTTAAATAAAAAACAAACTACATCACTACCAAAAAATGGACTAATAATTTAAAAAAATACCTGCCACAAATAAAAGGTAACTCTACACAATAAACAGAATAAAAACTGTGGTATCGAATTCTGCCTAGGTATCATGCCTACTAAAGCTGAAGCCTGCTCTTGTTGTTCAAAAAGGAAGTTGGACAAATGTCAGATGCGTTAAAGACATTAGGCACCATACTGAGCTCTTTCTCAGAGATTTAAGCAGTGGACAGAAAGTCAAGTGAGAAGGGACTTACTTTGTCAACAAGGTGGTTCGATGGGATTAAGTGCCAAGTTCACATTCTCCCTAAAATCAAGGCATGCCACTCCCTCTTATCCCTCCCCATCTGAATCCCACCCACTCTTCAAGGCCTGCCCCATTCAAGAAACCTTCCCCAGCCACCCTAACAAAGGAAACCAGTCAATATGTAGAAAAAAGAATTAAACTTCTGGTTATCCTGCAAAGCGAATTATCTGGCAGAGAGAAAGATGCTGGAGCTGAGGTGCCAGACGCGAGTCTTGAATTAATGAAGGCTTTTCCTCAACAGGAAAGGCACCTTCTCTGAACCCTTTTGGAATGACCCAAAACTGATTTCAGAGGGTGCAGAAAAAGGACCCTGTGGGCTAGAAAAGGAGAACAGCTCAAACCACGCAAAAGAGAACCCAGAAGTTAGCCTCAGAAAATCCCCCAAAGCAGCTTACCAGGTTATTCCCTGAGAAAAGAAAGGGTTTTACAGATACAGCATCCACCTAAAAATTTACTTATTTATCAAAAAGCTCAAGGACCCTCATCCACCAAACAGGAGGGTTAGGACCTCAAGAACCAAGTTCTATATGGTTTTATCAACTGTGGTCATTTTCTGAAGGCAGAAGGACTACCTGGGCCAAATGGGCATCTTCTACTCAACCCAGGTCAGCAAAAGAATTCTTTGTCCAAATGAAATTTTATGTGGAACCCCAATAAATGAAATAAATAAAAGTAAATGCTAATTTATTTGGGGAAGTCCTAAAAGCTGACATGCCCAGCCACTCCCTCAGCCATCTCACTGACCCACTAAGGCACCTCCAAGGATCCCTAAGGATTCATACCAAACCCGTTGGCATCCAGTTGATTCCAACTTATAGCAACTCTATAGGACAGAATAGAACTGCCCCATAGGGTTTCCACGGCTATAAATCTTTACAGGAGCAGACCAACAGGTCTTTTTCCCAAAGAGCGGCTAGTGGGTTTGAACTGTCCACCTTACGGTTAGCAGCCAAGTGCTTAACCACCGCGCCACCAGAGCTCAACTAAGGATCCAGGATCCACAGTAGCTTGAAAACAACTTGGCGTTCTCCCTGGCAAAATGGCTTCCCACCTGCCCATATGCGATGTAAAAGTGTCCTTCACCCACAAGGGGGCAACATACCAGATCCTTGGTTGGAGCCTAAGAGAATGGAGGAGGGCGTCTCCCTGGAGCCAGAAAGGTCGAGGGTCTAGAAACACAAAAAGAGAGGAAGACATGGACTCAAGGCACTGGGGCCAGTGAAGCCCCCCAGGGAAGCCTCAGGACCCATGGAGTGCTCATCACTGCCCCCAAATCATCTTAGTGTCTTCCACCTGGCAGGGTCAGGCACGGGTGGTCCAGTCACCTACGGTGGCCCAACACCTTGCGCTCAGTCTCCCAGACTGAACAGGTGGAACACAGCACTGGGGTGGTCCCTACCCAAAGCTACAGTCTCAGCTTCTAGAACATCCACTGTTTCCTAAATTTCATTCACTGACCTACCAACTCTCCAGATTTTCGCCATATCCAAAATGAAAGTAAACTAAACCAAACCTGCTGCCGACAAGTCAATAGTGACCCTACAGAACTGCCCTGTAGGGTCTCCAAGGCTGTAGTTTTTATGGGAGCAGGCAGACACATCTTTCTCTGGCAGAGCGGCTGGTGGGTTCAAACTGCTGACCTTTCAGATAGCAGCTGAGCAATTAACCACTTCACCACCAGGGCTCCTTAGAATGCAGTATAAAACAAACAAAGAAAAAACTAAACCCACTGCCATCAAGTCAATGCCAACTCATATCAACCCTACAGGACAGAGTAAAACTGCCCCACAGGGTTTCCAAGGCTGTAATCTGTATGGAAGCAGACTACCACATCTTTCTCCCAAGGAGCAGAAGGTAGGTTCAAACCACCAACCTTCTGGTTAGCAGCCAAGCACTTAACTACTGCACCACCACAGCTCCTGTCAGAATGAAGTATATTACTTTAAAATCATATCAATTCACTTTTATTTCACACTAGCCTCTTCCTAGATAATAATATCAGTGAACTCAAGGGCTTGATGAGCTAATGATTTATTGTTTTCCTAATACACACTGAAATACATGCATACTAACAGTTAAAAAGGTAAAAGATTATCAATGTGCCACCTAAACTAATTTTTGCCTACACACAATGTCACATCTACCACATACTGGGAAACTAGGAGGTGTAGCTTTTCACCATTCTACGTTTGCTCTTCAGTGTGGCAGCCACTAGCCACCTGTGGCTATTTAATTAAAATTTTAAAAAAATGTAAAATTCAGTTCCTTGGTCATAGTAGCCACAACGTGTGGCTGGTGGCTACAAAACTGGACAGAGCAGACGTACAACATTTCCACCATCACAGAAAGTTCTACTGCACAACAGTGTCCTAACCTTTGAGAGTCCCCAGAGAAGGTGCCGGGGATCCGCCGCACAAATGCCAACTCGGGCTTCATGTTCCTCTGTCCCAGCCCACACACCCACTGGACATCCCAGCACACTGGTAACAAGGAGCCCAAGGAAGACTCTATGGTCCCACCTGCAGTCCAACTGTCCCGCCTTGAAGATACACAAACCTCTACAACATGGGATGTTCGGGGATGGCAGGTATGGGGAAGGGTTCTGAGACTCTGCTTGGCACAAAGGGATGATGTCACTGGCCAAAAGCATCAGGTTACTCACAGAGCCACTGTCCTTGCTCTTCTCAGCTGATGTCTCCTTCTCTTTCGAGGCGCTGGCTGTTTCTGGAGGGGCTGACTGCGTGCTGGAGGAGCTACCCTGGGATGACTTGTTTAGTGTTTCTGGGTTCACCTCAGCATCTGCTTCCTGCTGAGGGGCAGTAGCTAGGGGTGAACAGGGAAGATAAGCCACATATAAGCCAAGTCCCACAGTTTCTGTACCAGCCCTGACCCAACCAAGATCTGTAAGGAGGGGCTGCTGCTCTACCCTACCCACGGCACCAAGCAGTGCCAATATGGATGGATCCCAGGAGTTTTCTAAAAATGGGAATTCCAGACTGTATGTGAAAATATGCTACTTTTTAATAGCTGGCAATTCATGTTTTATTAAATCCCTCTGGAGACCAAAGCATGTTTTCGAACAAATGAAGCCCATCAGCAAATGCTAGCCTGTAACCGCAGAATGACAATTACTCTATTTCATAGTTTCTAATTTTAGATGTATGTGAGCACACCGTGGACTTGCTTGATCCACGGGAAGATCCACGGGAAACACCACGTGATGGCAGAGGCACAGAGCAACTGCAGATGCTGGACACTTAAACCTGGAAAATTGCGTTGGAAAGAATTTAAGGACAAATTAATTGTGCCTCAAAGAAAGCAAGCTGACAGATGCTTTGACCATCTTGGAATGTCAGCAAAAGGGTTATCAAACGCATTCCAGAACTTAGACACAAGGGGAACCTAACTGCGCTGAAAGGAGAGATATCTAAAGTCACTACAAAGCAGGCGTCTCCCCAAAGAAGGTTTAACAAAGTGCAAATACATGTTCCAATACTGTCTTAGAAGACAACAACAACAGATCCATCTAGAGCAGGGATGGGAAAGCTACCTGCCATCCGTTTTGGAAATAAAGTTTTATTAGAGCACATTTACATATCACCTGTGGCTGCTTTTGAATAGGACAGAGACCACAACGTTCACAGAACCAAAAGGACTTGCTCTCCAGCCCTTCCAGAGAAGGTCTAAAGCAGTGTTCCTCGAACTTGAGTCATTCATACATCACCTCTCTAAATTTTGCTAATCCACACACACACACACTACTTGTCATATTATTTATGAAATGCTTTTATTTAAATAAATCATTTAAATAGAACCCCTAATTCTATGCACATAAATCTAGTTTATCATTTGCTGTAGGAGCCCTCGTGGCACAATGGTTGAGAGCTCAACTGTGAACTGAAAGGCTGGCAGTTCAAACCCACCCAGCCGCACCATGGGAAAAAAACTTGGCAATCTGCTTCCATAAAGATTACAGCCTAGAAAACCCTCTGTCATATGGGGCTATTGAGCTGACATCAACTCAATGATACCTAACACCTTCATCATTTGCTGTGAATGAAAGCTAACTGAAAATTTAATAAAAAGGGAAATTACTATTAATAAATTCTAACTAGAGAATGTTCCCCCTGCTGGAGATGCAGGGCCTAAGCCCTGCTTGCTCTCTTGTGGAAAGGGAGATTGTAATTATTACAGTAGTGTTCAAAACACACTAGTTCCAAACCAAGACTCTCTCTGACGTAAGAGTTGGAAATCCATGTTATTTAAAGCCACGTGTCTGTTATTATCTAAAAAGCAGGGTTTCTCAACCTTGGCACTACTGACATTTGGCGCCAGATCATTCTCAGTTGTGGGGGGCTGTCCTGTGTATTGGAGGCTGCATATCAGCCTCCCTGGCCTCTGTCCACTAGAGGCCAGTAGCACACTGCCCTCACGCCCCCAGGTGTGACAACCACAAATGTCTACAGACATTGCAAACATCCTCTGGACAGCAAAACCGCCCCAACTGAGGACCGCTGCCTAAAAGCAACTCAAATGAAACCCGACATCATCCGAGCTGCACTGCACGCCCCACACTTTGGCAAACAATGCAAAGACGAGAGGTTCAAAGCGCCTGTGCCCTGAGTCTTTCAGCTGTGTCTGCACACTGCTCTCTTGTATGCGACGTCATTATTTACAAGCGAGAGTAACCAGGGACTGGGCACGCCACCTCTGCCTCATCAGCCCCCTCTGTAGCCGCTGAGGTCCCAAGGGAGGGTGGGGGCGAAGGCTGGCCCTGGAGGCGTTACCTGACTGGGTGCAGGACTTCATGTGCTCAGGCCAGTGGGCCTGCTGGCAGGGGTAGTCACAGTAACTGGTGTTCCAACAGCAGTAGAAGATGGCTTCCTTCTTACAGTTGGCACACCACTGCTTCTTCTTAGTCTCATCCACCGCCTGCTGCTTCTCCAGCTCCAGCTGCTTCTTCACCTCAGCAATGAGCCGGTCACGCTCCTGCTCCAGGCTCTGCCGCATCTCCGCCATGGTCAGCTCTGCCGGGGGAGGAGGGACACTGGCTTTCTCACCTGCCCCCCAGCCCAGGGCATGGGGTTATTCACACCAGACAAGACAGAAAGCACAGGATGCAGTTCACACAGACGCAGGTGTGAATCCCAGCTTGGAGATGCCTTGGCTGTGGAGCCTGCATGAGTAACCTGGTGATTACCTCCCCAAGGTCCACTGTCTTCATCTGTAAAATGGGCATTCATACTTACCTGGCTGAGCTGCTTATGATAATACACATGAGGTCTCTGGTATGAACAGAACTGGTGATTCTGAATCCAAAACTACACTGTGGAAATTCATCAAATAAACCCTCTGAACGATTTTCGCTAAAACTCACCTTGATTCTTATCATTAACATGAGCCTTTTTCCCTATAATCAAATTCTTATGGCATCTACTATGTGAATGGGCAGGTGGGAAGCCATTTTGCCAGGGAGAACTCCAAGTCGTTTTCAAGCTACTGTGGATCCTTAGTGGAGCCCTGGTGGTGCAGTGGTTAAGCACTCAGCTGGGAACTGACAGGTTGGCAGTATGAACCCACCAGTCGCTCTGCGGGAGAAAGATTCGGCAGTCTGCTTCTGTAAAGATTACAGCTTTGGAAACCCTACAGGGCAGTTCTACTTTGTCCTATAGGGTCACTATGAGTTGGAGTTGGCTTGACGGCAATGGGTTTGAAGGTTTTAAGTACTTTTATAAATATTAACTCATTTAATCCTTCTATAATCCTATGAGGTAAACACTGCTATTATACCTCTTTCACAGGTGAAAAAATTGAGGCACACAGCTAGTAAGGGCAGAGCTGGGACTAGAACTCATGGCGATGTATCAATTTACCAGACAGGATCTTGTGGTTGATCAATGTTAATGAGACAACTATCAAACTGCTCAGTCCGTTGAGATTTCTCTAATTTTACTTTAAACAGCACATCTACTTGCAATTCACCTGGGAGAATGTTTTGTTTTTTAAGACATGCAAACAACATTAAAAATGGAGAGATTCTCTATAAAACTAGATTCCCTGACTTTTTTAGAAAACTGAGAAGCAGCATCAACACCCACACTTCCTGCAGAGCACAACCTAAGGTGCAGCGGACCCCTCAACCCCTCTACCCATGGGCTCCTTTAGAGTTTGAGTCTGCAGCTGTGAGTTAAACGTGCGTCACAGGTGAGCAGGTACACCTGGGCACAGTCCCTAACAAAAGCGGTCTGATGGTTTCCAGCATCCTCCCTCCAGGGCTGAGCCTACATGAGGGTCTGAAATAAACTGATTCTGCCTTTGGGGAAAAGCCTTTAAAAACATCTATACAGAATGGTGGGTCAAAACATCCATCAGTCAATCTACCCCAGGGACCAACAAAGCAGAGACACTGAGGTGCTTTCTCCACAGGGCGGGGGACACAGGAAGTGCTCAACGATTTGTTAAAATACCCAACAGCAGTGGTTAAGAGGGAAGTTGGGGGCCTCGGTGCCTGTACTTGACCACAGCTCTGTGACCTTGAACAACTTCCTCAATCTGTCTGTGCCTCAGTTTCTTCACTTGGAAACTTGGGATAACAGACTCCTTTCTCATAAGGTTTCTGTAAGAATGAAACTAGTTAATTTATCAAAAAATACCTAGAAAAGTTCCTGGCACACAGGAAGAGCTCAGTAAGTAGGAGCAGCGGCTACTATTATTTTGGTTTGATATTGGCGTTTTTTTGTTTTTTTTTTTTAAAGTAATATGGTATTGTGTTTTTGGTGAACATTTAGAAAGTTAGGTTCCCACTTGACAATTTCCACACAAATTGTTCAGTGACGTTAGTTACCTTTTTTTACTATGTCACCATTCTCCGTGATTGTGTTCTGGTTGTTCTGATGTTGGTATTTTGGAGACAGGAAATGAGGGCTCCCACCAACACCCGCTTTGACACCTGGCTTCTCCAGATGAGCCCCTGCAGGAGCCTGTCTCCCTCACAAGAACACCCCATTAGCCTCACTGCGACTCCATTCATATCTGGGCCTGACTCCAGAGGCGCCAAGTCTACATGCAAACCGTCCCCAGGATGGTCCACCCAGGTGGGCCTTACCCAGGTTGTGTTTCATCTCTGAGAGCTCTTGCTGGTGCAGCCACTGGAGCTTCTCTATCTCAATCCTCAGCCTTCGGATCTGAAACGAGGGACAGCAAGACGCTCACAAAGCTAGTCTGGGAGCAGTTCCCCAGCAGTCTCAGAGCCTGCGGCTGTCTGGGTTGTTAATGTCACGTTGCTAAGCAAGGGCACGGTCGGTGCAGGTCTGGACTCATCTCCCCACAGCTGAGAGAGGTCAGAGCCCGTGGTTTACCCCAAATTCCTGGGAAACACTGTCTCAGAAAACCAAGTACAAATGGTCCATCTTTTCCAAGAAGTACTGTCATTAGGAAAAGCCACTTAAAGTGAAACAAAAGACCAAATTTTCATAATAAATGTAACATTTGATCAGAAACTTTGGTTTAAAAGGAAAAAAAGTGAACTAAAACAAATAAAGATTGGCTTTATTTTCTCTCTTCCTTAACATGTAGGCGGGCTCCGTATCATTCACCTGAAATTCAGAAAGCCCAACACTTCTGAAAGCCAAAGGGTGCTGTGGGGGCAGGGATACACCTGGGGCCAAGCTCCTATGAATGGGAAAAAAACACCAACTCAACCTGAACTGAGAGGAGGCTATCTAGTGTTTGTTACAGTGGTTCTCAACTGGGGGCAGTTTTCCACCCGCCCGCAGGGGACATTGGCAATGTCTGCAGACATTTTAAGTTGTCACAACTGGGGGTACTACAAACATCTAGCAGGTAGAGATCCAGGATGCTGCTAAACATCCTACAATGCACAGGACAGCCCTCCACAACAAAGATTTATCTGGTCCAAAATGCCCATAGTGCCAAAGCAGAGAAACCTGACTTCGTGTAAGCAATCATCCATTTCAGTGTGGATGTATTATCTAATTATGGGGGACTGACTGCATGTTCTGTCTCTAAAACAAAATTGTGGCACACCTGTGGACTCAAAGGTTTCAGATGCAACACTATAGACCTTGTATTTTCAACCACACGTCAATTCTTAAAATGAACAAAAAGGAATGAATATGGTGGAAGGTAATAGAGATTTTTCTGAAGCAATTATTTTTCATTCCTTGTTTGACAATCCCAGTATAATCATAAAAAGTGTCATATTTGCAAACATATTCAAGCGTGTCTTAGTTTATCTAGTGCTGCTATAACAGAAATACAAGTGGGTGGGCCTTAACAAATAGAAATTTATTTTCTCGGATTAGAGGACTCATAGTCCAAATACCGGCTGTAGAGGAAGGCTCTCTCTGTTGGCTCTTTGGTGATCTGAAGCTGGCATGGCATCTGTCTTCCCCCATCTCTGCTTGCTTAATCTGCTCTTTTTATATCTCAAAAGAGACTGACTCAAGATACACCCTATACTAATACTGCCTCATTACCATAACAAAGAAAAACCATTCCCAAATGGGATTATAACCACAGGTATAGGGCGCTAGGATTCACAATATTTATTTTCGGGGGTGCATGGATTGAATTGTATCCGCCCAAAATATCTGTCAACTTGGCTAAGTTATGACTCCTAGTATTGTATGACTGTCTACCATTTTGTCAGCTGATGTGATTTCCCTATGTGTTGTAAATCCTATCACTATGTGTTAATGAGATGGATGAGCAGCAGTTATACTGCTGAGATCTGTAAGATTAGACAGTATCTTAAGCCAATCTCTTTGGCGATATAAAGAGAGAAGCGAGCAGAGAGACGGGGACCTCATGCCACCAAGAAAGCAGTGCTGGGGGCAGAGTGTGTCCTTTGGACCCAGGGTTCCTGCGCAGAGAAGCTCCTAGTCCAGGGGAAGATTGATTACAAGGACCTTCCTCCAGAGCTGACAGAGAAGGCCTTCCCCTGGAGCTGATGCCCTGAATTTGGACTTTTAGTCTACTGGACTGTGAGTGAATAAATTTCTCTTTGTTAAGGCCATCAATTTGTGGTATTTCTGTTATAGCAGCACTAGATGACTAAGATGGGGACACAATTCACTCCACAACAGAGGCGATTCATCAGTTTCTCTCAGAGGCTCTATGAATTCTTTACATTCAAAGTGACCTCTCTGAATACAAGAGAACTTTCTTTCAGGCTCTCTTCCTGATAGAAGAAAGCCTCCCTGAAGATTTTCTCTGCTTCGTCGGAGTGTGGGTCTAACCCTGCCAGGTCCTCACTGGTCAACAGATTTCCATGGTTTTCCCAGTTCTCCAACATCACTTTCAATGACGTCAAGAAATCCCGCCACTTGTCATTTGCACCTAGTGAACCATCTGCATCTGGCTTACATTGTCCAGTCCATACTGACAACCAGTAGACAACCTACCTATCATGCTTCTGTAGTGAATTAGCCTAAGAGGGAAGTTCCATGACATATACTGTAAGTGGTCTGTTCATGAGTAAATTATTTTAATGTGTTTTGTTTAAACAACAAAGATTTACTTCTTGCTCATACAGTATGTCCACTGAGGATCAACAGAGTTTAAGGTTTTAATCGTTTTCTTTCCTGGGCAATCACCTAATTGTGAAGGCCCCGTACACAAATACTCTGCCAACAAAGATCACTTGTACAAAGAAGTCCAAATTCATGGAAAATATTAAGGAGCCAGTTTTATATGAAGCTAAAAGAACTGGTTTCCAGGGTCACCAGTGAGTTAACTCTGGGTCTGACCTGGCCCTTAGTTTGTTCTATTAGCTCTTAGCTTGTTCTATTAGAATTGAATTTATCACATAAGGCAAGATGCAGCTCCACAGCCCCAGCCATCTGGCTAAATGAAGAAACACCTTCCCCAACAAATGGGATCAACAGAGCCAGCCTGGTAACTGGAGCCAGGAGCTAGGAGGGATTTCCAGAGCAGCTCTGCATGGCGCCATCTTTACAGCAGCCCATAAAACACCCTTAGCAAATAAGGAAATAATGTGTGAACTCTGACCTCGGCTATTGTGCTTCCAGTAGTGTTTTTTGAAAGATCATTATATATCTCTGTCATCGTTCCTTTTATTGCATCCATCATCTGAAAGATAAAAACAGACAATTCAGGTGATCACTTCCCCAAGGCTTTTCTAGGTGGCAGATATCTAAAATCTCAACCAGGGGGACTGTGCTCCCGTGGGACACTGGGCAGTGTCCAGAGACATTTTTGGTTGTCACAACTGGGGGGGGGGGGGCAGGAGAGTATCCTGCTGACACATCTATTCAGTAGAGGCTAGGGATGCTACTTAACATCTTGCAATACAAAGGACAGCCCCACGACAAAGAATTACTTGGTCCAAAATGTCAATAGTACCAAGGGCTCAGGAACACTGGTACAAAGCAGGATAGGAATCACCCACAAATGCCCTGTCTTATATTGGGGGAACATTTTCCACCCTTGAGGCTGGCTTCTCCAGTCAAAAGCTCAAACTAGAGAGTCGGAATTTGGCCCTATGTGCTGGTGGTTTGCGGAAGGGATTATTTTGTTGATTTGTTATTTTTTCTTTCCTTTAAAAACAAAAAATGTTTTCTTGAGATATAATTCGTGTATCATACAATTGACCCATTTGAAGCGTTCAACTCAGCAGTTGTTAGTATACTCAGAGTTGTGCATCCATCACAACTTCCACTCCCCCTTAGCCCTCACTCCCCAGTCTCTGCATCCCCTCAAGCACTAGCCAACCACTAATCTACTTTGTCTCTATACATTTGCCTATTTTAAACATTTATATAAAGAGGATCATACAATATGGAGTCCTTTGTGACTAGATTCCTTCTCAAGGCTCATTCATGTTGTATATATCAGTACTTCATTCCTTTTTATTGGTGAATATTGTTTCCCTGTATGGACATAGCTGGCTTGTTATTCTAATGCCTTTAGTCAGAGCATTGCCTTTCCCAGTTGGTTCCCCATCTTCCTTCTATTTAACTATCTGGCCCTTGAAGGTATCAGTGAGTTTGTGAAATCAGCTCAAGTCCATGTAACAGGCACTGAAATATTTGCTTACTAAAAGTATTTGTTGGATGAATTTTTTTCCCCTCTCCTCTGCTCTATCACAGGACACAGGTAACAAGAGACCAAATGAGGTCTCAACACAGACTAACTTGCCTTTGTTTTCCAGTCTGCTCCTATTCAGTAAGAAGGTGGGATAAAGAATGTCCCTATCTGATGCATGAGATTTGTTCCCACCGTTACCTTTTCTGATCCAAATGCTCTGAGCCTCAGTTTCCCCATTTAGGAAATGAGGATTATAATTATGTCCCCCCTTGTAAGGTATGTGTAAGGATTAAATGAGAAAATCATGTGAAGACTTAGCTTAAAATATCTGCCATGGAGTAGGTGTTCATAAATACCTGTTCTTATTCTTTAGGAGGAAAAAAAAAAAAATTCACATGAGCATGTAATTGACTAACTGATGTCAAGCCCCTAAAAAAAAAAAAACAAACTACCCCAAATTTAGCCCCAAATGGGAGTAAAGGGAATAAAGAATCTGTTGAAATTCCAGTTGGCTGCAAAGGCAACATGAGACACTTGCAGCAAAAAAACATGGTGCTTTATAAGGCTTCTTTTTAATTCCTTCTTTTGGGCCTCCCTATCCAACGGCACTACCAGGTCAATTTAAAAACTTTAAACTAAAGTGCTTTATAAGAAAACTTTAGAAAGCAGATGAAATTCAATATGTTACTAACGCAATGGTTACATTCCATTTTAAAGAAATCATGAATCTGCAGACTGACTTTTACTTTTACTTCCAAATATAGCAAAGAACTCAACATTAGTAAGAAGCAGCCTTCTGCCAAAACACACAAATCTGGGTCTTCAACTCCAGGTCACCTCCAAGACAGGAAGGTTGATCAGCTCCAAAAAATGTCGCCATGTACAATTTCTTAACTGCAAAGAAAATTCTATCAAGAAGGTCTTTCCTTGATTTTGCTGGAACAGTAAAGGGGGCAGCAGAGGGTAATGGAATAAAAATGGCTGCATAAGCTGAGAAAAAGTGGCTCAGTGCACACCACTGGTCAAATCTACTCAGCAGGCCTCGGTATTCCCATCTATAAAGAGCTTGGCCCAAGTCACTGGAGGGTGGTACAAGAGGTGATTTCAAGTAGAAAAATAAATGATTTAAGCTAATACTAGACACCTCCTTAAATCAGTCATGAAAAAATTACCCCCTTTCAATTCTCTTTTAATCCTGCAGATCATGTTAGGAAGAAAGTCTCAGTTTGGTGCTATTGTCTTTAACAACTTTATGCCCATCTCCCTTTTTAACAAAAAGAAATGAGACTTAGGTCACAAGCCTCAATAAGGAACATCATCCAATGAGGTTAAATTTAATTTTATTTAAGTTCTTTAGCTGAGTTCATTTAAATAAAAACATTAAGTCAATGCTAGTTCAGGAGGTCAATGAGGAACACGCCTAGAAGGTGGACAAGTTGGGTGACAGGATGGGTCTACTAGTCCCCAGAGTCCATCTTCACTCCTGGGCAAATCAATGTGAGTATCTTACCTTGCAAGTCTCATGTATAAAGATCTATCACTTTGGTTCCACATGGCCCCTAAATGCAAACCAACTCCTTGATCTGCTGTCAGCTGAGGGAATGGCAATTTATTCCAACATTTAAGGAAAACAAAAGAAAAACCACTGCCACTGAGTCAATTCCAACTCACAGTGACCCTACAGGACAGAGCAGAACTGCCCCCCATAGGCTTTCCAGGGCTGTAAATCTTTACAGAAGCAAACCGCCACATTCCTTCTCCCTCAGAGTGGCTGGTGGGTTCGAAACGCCAACCTTTTGGTTAGCAGCCAAGCACGTTTAACCACTGTGCCGCTAAGGCTCCTTTGCTTAAGGTAAATCTATCCGTAATGAATGACTTCAATTCTGAAAGGTACTTCTGATTAGGCATCATTTCAATTTATGTACCGACTTTAGAAACTAAACCCTCTCCATTCCACACTGATTTGTTTATCCAACTTAGACCCAAATGAAAGACTCCTGTCTTGAAGATCCTCTGTAAGAACAGGGTCCCCCCAATGAAGTACCCCCAAAACGTGCAAGGTTATGGCCTTAATGGTTCCCATCAGGAAGCAAGTCCTTCAACTTCCTGCTGGGCACCTGCTCATCTCCCACGGTAGCACTCGCTCCTTTCCACTCACTTTGCTAGTGTACTTGGCAATATCTGCAGCGACATCGGCTGAGGCAGTGGCAATGGGTAGGTCAGCACTGACTGAAGACGCAAGTGTGCTTGTCGACCCCGAGCTGGTGACCAGGGGCGACGACTGTGTGCTGGTCACCAGGGTGATGGTGGACGTGGATGGGCTCTGTGTGATCTCCTTCTGCTGGACAGCTAAAAAGCAAAGGATTCTGGTTACCCCACCACTGTGGGACAGACTTGTCCCAGCACAAAGCCGTGGTGAGGAAGTGAAGCCACTAATACAGACCCTGTGAGCTTCTCTATCTTAAGACATTCTGGAAATTGAGAAATGTACCATCAATGACCTCTTTCTTGCTAATATCTAAATTCCACTGGAGAAGCCTAAGAATGCGTACGGGGCACGGAGACCTGAGATTGGAATTGGGCATCCCAATCTCAAATATCCTGGATTCAGCTCTGCCCCACCAATCTTTAAATGGGAAGGTCAACTCAACTGTACAGGCAGTTCCCAGGTTACGAATGAGATCCATTCCCAACTGTGCCTTTAAATCAAAGTTGTAAGTCACGTAACAGGTGCATTCGGTTCTTATTTGGCCTGACTTTAGTACAAGAAAAGGCTCAGAGCTTTTTCAATGATTTAAAAGCTGCACATCCAGCAAGTAGAGGTAATTGTGATCAAGAATTTGTTGCCAGCAGAGGTTGGCTGGGAGCCCTGGTGGCACAGTGGTTAAGAGTGACAGCCACTAACCAAAAGGTCAGCAGTTCGAATCTACCAGCCACTCCCTGGAAACCCTGAGGCAGTTCTACTTTGTCCTATAGGGTCGATATGACTCAGTCGACTCGACAGCAACGGGTAAGAGGTTGGTTCAACAGTAAGAGTTTGTTCAATCATTTAAAAGTGAGGGCAAATTTATGTAACGTTAAAGGGTCAGTCCAAGTTGACTGTAAGTAGGACATTCGAAACCCAGGGACTGCATGTACTTCAATATTGCCTCTACAATTCTTCTAAAAGTCTTCCCTCTTCCAGTCTTTGAAGGGTTTCAATGGGAGCCGATTCAAGACCTTGCTACCTTTCAATCTCATATCCTGCTTCTACTCTTACGAGTCCTTTTGTGGCACACTCACTGTGTAAGAGTTGTGATCAAGGAGCCCAACCTCCAAGGAGCTAGATGCAGGTTTTCTCCTAGAATGGTCTAGATCAATGCTCACAAAAGCTAGACAAACTGGTCCAGATCAGTACTTCTATCTGGCCTTACACCAGCTCTAGATGGAGCCTCCAGCAGGGCCAGGAGGAGTTTTGATTCCACAATTTCAGCAACTGTTTCTTGGTGCTGGTTCATCTTTTGTACGTGGCTAATCCTTGGTTATTAAGGTGACCTTTGCTACCATCTTTTCACCCTGTACTCTTTCCAAAAGAATCCCAAAAAGTTCATTCATGTGCACAGGGAAGCTTATACAAAGATGTTCATCGTAGCTCTGTTTACAACAGGAAAACTCTGGAAGAAAACTCAATGCCCATCAGTAGGGGAATGCTTTAAATAACTCTGAAATACTATGCAGCAGTTCAAAAGAATAAGGTAGAGCTGTATGTACTGACATGGACGGACCTCCAAAACATGCTGATGAATGAAAAAACATGTGTGGTACCATTTTTATGTTTTTAAAAAGAAAAAAGGAAGAAAAATGAATATTTTATGGGGTCACATATAGGTAAATAAGTATGCATACATGCACAGTAGAGTTTTAAGAGTATACAACAAACTGATAATAGGAGCCTCTGATGAAGGGAGAAGAACGAGATGGTTGTTCGATAGGGACAACAGACTTTTATGTCCCTAGCTTGTCCCATTTAAAGAATATATGCATGTACTGTTTATAAAATGAAAAAAATTATACAAAAATAAAAGGTTACAAAACAATTTTTAAAAGCCATGCCACATGGAATGTTTAGGGCTTTCAGGATGCAATGGCCAGGAAACAAATGGGAACTTAAAAAAGGAAAAAAAAAAAGAAAAAAAAAGCAGTAACAATTTTTCTCCTGTGGATGTGGCAAAAAGAGAGCAGACAACCACGGAGAACAGAAGGGGAGGCTCGGTACCTTTCACAGCCTGTCTGGTCTGATATCTCGTCCCCTGGGAAGACTGAGGCTGCTGTTGCTGGTTTTGCTGCTGCTGCTGCTGCTGACGCTGCATCTTCTGCATGTGCCACTTTTGGGAGGACGTTTGAAACTTACTTGATGAGTTCCACACGACCCGCTGCACGGCTGGGGCAGTCTCCTTCGGTAAGAGTGGCCTCTGCTTTTTCACTGGGCTTCCCGTGGCGGCAGCGACTGGGGCCATGACTGTGGACGTCGTGCTGGTGGTGGCCGTGACACCAGCCGTGGGGGTTTGGGAGGAAGAGCGGGTGAGGACCGGCGTCTCGGAGGGAGACTGGCTGCCCGCTGCCGTAGTGGATGGTGGAGCTTTACCTACAACTAAAGCCAATGCGTAAGAGAAACAAAAATTGGATTTGAGTCGGGTTCGACTGCAGAGCCTATGCCAGCAAATTCTGGGTGATGCCAACCAAGGCCGGGCGGGAAGATGGAGCAAACTTAGCCACCCCTGATGGGGGAGCACCTTCCGCCTTGGCAGCATCTTTGCCCCTCCCTTTACCGAGATTTGCTCACCCCTGAGGCACAACTCAAGGTCATACGGGGGTTGAGGAGGACAAAACCCAGCCCCCACCCGTAAGGAGCCAACTGACTAGTGGACAAGGCAGATGAGCAGAATCACTACAAGTGCCTTGTTTTAGCAAGTTAGAATTTGGTAAATCACCTTGAGAAAGGCCTTGGCAAGTCAACCAGAGATTAAGAGAAACCATTTGGCTAGGAACCCTATAAACCGTGTATCCCAAAGAACTGGAAGGCTTCCCAAGATAGTTCAAAGAGAAGATGGCCAAAGGACAGAATAACACTGAATCACCCAGAAAGTAAACTATCCCTTTTCCACCTCCTGATTCCCTTGGGGACAAAGTCTCAGGGTGGTGCTGATGTAGCCTTACAGACTAACACTTGTGTTTCCTCCCTTTCAACAAAGGGAGCGTGCCCCAAGGCCAGAATTTTCTGCAACGCATGGCACTTATCCAGGATTTAGTTACATTAGTGTTTTGTTTTGGTGTTCCGTTTTGTTTTAATTTATTCCTGCCACCATCTTTTATGGACAGCACACAATATTGATTTTCCTACTGTGTGGTAATCAAGTTAATGTCTAAAATAGGTAAATTTTTTTTAAGAGGGAGTTGATAAAAAAAAAAAGTCAATCAATAGTTATATAAAGCAGGACTTAGAAATGACAAAACTAACGAATATGAAGGACTCAAGTTTGAAAACCACCGCCACGTAGGGTATGTCTTCTTGGAGGAGCTGGGCTCTGAAGGGCAGGAAGGATTTCAACAGACAGAGAATTTGGAAGGGAACAGCATTGGCCAAGACACGTTCAGGCGAGTTAGGGCAGGCAGTGCAGAGTGGCCGAAGGCAGGTTAGCGCCAGAAGCACTGAGCAGCTTGGAGGGGATGACCACGTGAGTGCTGGTTTGTAAAAGGGGGGTCCTTGTTACCACCGCAGAGGTCCCAGCCAGCGGTTGGGTGAGCTCTCCCCCCAGAGAGGATGCCCAGGAACACACACACACCACCACTGTAAAGTCAGCACCCTGGCTTAGAGGTTGTGCCCTGACATCATACACTTTATGAAAAGACTACGCCTGTCTTCTTAGACTTCTTTCACCCAGAAAAGATGAGCTTGATTACTCCGGGGAGTATTTTCAGTAAGTTTTAACGGTTCTGGGAAGCCAGGGGAGAGAACAGACAAGCTGACCGTTCTGACTCAGGAGGTTAAAAAGCTTTCTTGGTGATTCTGGCTGGCCCTCATGGTCTTCCGGAGATGAGAGTTCAGCCAAGCTTGTAGGCAAGAATGTTGGGGACTGAAGGGGAGCTTGTCCTGCAGTGAGGAGCCCCTAATATTGGGTGCAGTTCCTGCCCCTTCCAGGTGCAAGAGGCCTTGCCTAATACTGGGTACAGTCCCTGTCCCTTCCAGGTACAGAAGGAGGCCTTCCCTAATACTGGGTACAGTTCCTGCCCCTTCCAGATGCAGAAGGAGGCCTTGCCTAATACTGGGTGCAGTTCCTGCCCCTTTCAGGAGCAGGAGGCCTTGCCTAATAGCGTGTGCAGTCCCTGCCCCTTCCAGGTGTAGGAGGAGGCCTTGAACTTGGTTCTTCTAAGGGCCAGGCACAGGAAGCCCCCCAGCGGGGTTTCTAACCTACAGATGCTCCGTCAATGCCTCCCTTTTCTGCCATGTGGCAAAAAATATACACATTGTTATTGCGTGGCTGTCGTTAATTAACGTTAGCTAGCCTAGGTTCAGTGCTTGGCTACTAACCGAAGGTCAGTGGTTCTAACCCACCAGCCACTCCCTGGGAAGACGATATGGCAGTCTGCTCCCATAAAGATTACAGCCTTGGAAATCCTATGGAGCAGTTCTACTCTGTCCTGCAGGGTCCCTATGAGTTGGAATTGTCTCGAGGGCAACAGGTTTGGGCAAAGGGCAACTCCAAGGTCATTATCTGTTTGCTGATTTGCAAAAACAAACAGCCAGCTTTGTAGATGGGCTACCACTTAGCGGCAGTCTGGATGGCTCCCTTTTCCCAATGAAAAACTGGGGTGCACAATCGGGAAAGATACCAGGCTTAAAGTACAGTCTTTGGGGATATCATTTAGACACTACAAGATTTTAATTTCTAGGGTATTCTGGTGGTTTTTGGAGCAAAAACAGGCTATAGGAAATCCTAATTGTCCTAGAAATTTGAAGTATATAATGAATTACCTCTAACAGAAATAAAAGGTAAATTTCTTAAGGGTCAGCACCCCAGAAGCCACCCTATCAAATGAACCTACTACTTATTCTGGAGTTTGCCGCTGTCTTGTATACAAATAGAGGACTTTTTAAGAAAAGAATTCACCTACCCTTTGGAAAAGAATAGAAATCACTGACATTACAGAGTACACGTAGCAAAAAAGTCTCTGAGGAAGAAGTTCCCTTCACCTCTGTTCTGAGATCAACCAGTTATAAAAAGTATACTATCTGAGGAAGGGGCCCTGGTGGCGCGCAATGCTTAAGAGCTCAGCTGCTAACCAAAAGGCTGGCAATTCAGATCCACCCAGCTACTCTGCAGGAGAAAGACCTGTCTGTCTACTGCCGTAAAGATTACAGCCAAGAAAATCCTATGGGGCAGTTCTACTCTGTCGTATGGGATCACTGTGAGTCGAAACCAACTCAACAGCATCTAACGACAATTATCTGAGGATTCATATTCTATGCAGAAGCTCCATCCCTAGCTGAAGGTTAAGTCTGAAGTCACCTCACACAACTTTCCAAAATGTCCTTCACTTAACAAACTCGTGAGTGACTATACATCATTAAAAACATGTTCAACTGCAGAGTCAGACACGAAGTTGCTTCTTCAAGATCCAAACCACCATCAGGGAGCTCTGGATTTAAGATTATTCCATCTTGTCCCAACCCCCGGGGAAGCTGCTCTAACCAAATTGTGTTTTAGAATCAGATCTTCCACTCATACACTCAGGGTCTCTTTCATGAGGGCCTCCTGGAGAAATTCCCTTTAGACATCAACACGAGGAAGAGCTCTACTTCTTTTAATCAACTGGAATTCTTTTTGACTTTTGGAAAATATGAGACCTTTTAGGGACTGTGTTTCCCTTTTTACTTTGACTGCTAGGAAGCTCAGAGCCCAACTGGAATATACTTATGCACAGAAGCTTTCTTCAGACCTCTCACTATTCTATCTTCATTATCCTTTTACACTGATTTACTTATTTACATCTTATCTCATGGTTATGTATTCTTATTGATCAGTTGCAAATCTTCTGCAAGAGAAAGAGGCATAAAAATCAATCAAAGATCTGTTCCAGAAAGAAAGGAACAGTATGAATATATCATTCACAGGAGCCTTATCTGTACCCAAAATTCTCACCATCATGGAATAAATACTAGTTCTATCGTTCTCTGGAATATCAGAGGTGTCCCCTTAAGCCCCAACATAATCTGCGTCTCCAGAGGCCACCCATAAATCTGAAAGACAGGCTCACGGATGGTGAGATGGATGCTTTACCCTCCCTGCCCCACTTCATTAGCCTCTCTCTCTCCCTCCATCTCATTATCCAGACACTCCAACCTCTTTTGCTGAACTGCAGGAATCCTCTCTCTAGTACATTTCAGGTTCCAGAGCTGCCCGGGTAGAAAACAGCCACAACTGGAACAATTTTCAAGGCCCATCCCTGACTTGCTTTAGCCACTAGGCTATGAGTCCCCAAAGCACACAGAGCACACCTTACTCAAGGGATTGGTTGAAAAGTTCACACCTGTCAGAAGTTAGGCATAGTCAAAAATTAAACATGGTTATCCCTTTCATTATCTTAAGACCATACTGTTTTATGGTTATAACATCTAGTTTGTCAGATGCAACATTTTTTCTTGGGCCCTCAATTAATTCTTCAGCATCTTTCTTGGGTATGCTGGAATCTCCTCACCACCCACGAGCCAACTGAAAAATGTGCTTACTGCTTTGTCGATTGGAAGGATACCCTTTCAAATTATTCACACATTCTGAAGGGTTCGCCAACATGCCCGGGTTACCTTAGGCTTGAGGGCAGCCACTGCTGGCTCAATATGTAACTAGCAATGGGGGGAATGCTGGGACTCGGGCAGCGGGTTTCAACTGCAGGAGAGTTTGTCCCCAAGAGAATGTTTGGTAATGTAGAGACATTACTAATTGTTACAATTAGGCAAGTGTTACTGGCATTTAGGGGGCAGAGGCCAGAGACGCTGCTAAACATCATCTAATGCACAAGACAGCATCTCACAACAAAGAATTATCAGGTGCAAAATCGCTATAGTGCCGGGGTTAAGAAACCCTGGTCTCAGGTCAGCCTGTATGGTGGAATACCAACCCGGGTACCCACCATACAACAGCCCTTCATCTACAGCACTCAGGAACCAACCACTCAGCACCCAATTCTGGCACCAGTTACTCAAATGGTTTCATGTTCTAGTAAGAAAATGCACTCTGAGACATCTGGGCAGCATAAAGAGAGAAAAGGGATGCTGAACTCATGAACACTTTGATCTGAGCACTTGTAACAATTTGAGCCTTGTCAACAGTCTAAGTGTTGACAGTCACTTACAGAACTGTGTGAGTATATTGGAGAAGCAGTTGCTTAGGTGAAAAAAATGGCCATTAAAAGCAACTAGCAAAAAAAAAAAAAAAAAATTCTGTATGGGAGACTAACTTGAAACGTAAATGTCATTTAATTACATCAATTTAAAAAAAAAGCAACTAGCATTTTCTAAGACTTTCTGCGTTTAAAAGCAATCACGTTGGGTGGGTACTAAGCAGGTAAAAGGCAGGCAGGCCCAGGTTTAAATCCTGGTCCTGTTCAGAACTAGCTAGTTGACCTTAAACCAATTACAGCTTTGCACTCTCTCTCTCACTGGGGTTAGAGGGTCCCATAAACTTCTGATGACACAGACGGAAGGCGGAACTCTAAACCGAATTAAGAAACCGGAAACTGATATAGTAACTTACCATCCTGCTTGGGAGATGGCTCTTTGGGTTCCTTCTTATTTTTTCGACCCTCCCGCCCAGAATGGTCTTCTCCTAAATCTATGACAAGTTCACTCTCTGAATCGGAGTCCAGGCCCAAATGCACTGTTGGGGAATCCATCTCATCTTTTCCCTTCAGTTTATCCTTTGTTGGATGAGGTGAAGGTTTTGCTTTTTCTGGAAAATCCTTCTCAGGCTCGGGGCTTGTCTTTTCCTTGACTGCCCCTGGGTCCGCCTTTTCGCTGGTTGGCGATGTGCTTTTCAGCTCCTCTTTAATCTCCACTGGGTTTGTCGATTTGGGCTTTTTCTTGACAGCAGATGGCTCTTTGTCCATCCGACTACCCTCTTTGTCTTCTGCATCTTCCGGCTCATTCTTGGACTTCTGCTCATCATCACTGATATACTCACTATCGCTACTATCTGACTTCTCGGAATCCTCCGAATCGCTGTGCTCTACGGCCGTATAAACATCTTCCGAGATTTCATTTATGCCTAAATTCAAAAAGAAAACCCAGCATGTGGCGTACTCACAAAATAAAAAGCAGGACCAAAAACGCAAACATTTTCCACGCCAAATGCTGGAATAAAAAAAAACATTTCACATCACATCACACTGGCCTGGCGGGGTTAGCATGAACTAAAGCTGCAACTGACTACAGCTGATGAATGGAACTTGTTTTTGGAGAAGGTTTCAGTTATTAACATTCACATTAGACGTGGAAACTGGCAACATAAAATTTAAGTTTACACAGTGCTAAATCTTAGCAATACTGGTAATAACTGGGATATAGAGAATGGGAGAGATGGAAAGGACTACCAGAGATGAGCTGTTAAAACTGATCCATTTTACAGATTAGAAAACGGAGACCCAGAGAAATCATCTGCCCTAAGACACAGAGAAAACCAAGACAGAGGCAAGACCAGAAACCTGGGCTCCTGACCCACTACCCCACGCTCCTCTCACTTGCTCCCAAAGTGGTAAAGCACTTTACCCATGTGTCTAGGGCTTAAAGAAGAGAGGCAAAGCCTTAAAGCAGAGCTTGCAAAATCAGCCCACAAGCCACATCTGGCCAGCAGACACATTTTATTTGGGAAGCACTGGTTTGGCCCACAGAGTATTTTTTTTTTTTTGTTTTTCGCTTTCTAATTTTGAATTTAATTCAAAAACCCATTTTTGAATTTCACCCACATTCACAAATCAGGACTATTCACACAGAAATCAAGATGGCGGGCTTCTCTTGAAAGAGCAGATCTGGCAACATGGGTCACATTCCTGCAAGGCAAGACCTGGCCGGGGCCGAGAAGCTGCTGCCCCCTGTAGAAAGGCACACCCTTTCCCGATGAGTCAGGTGCCTCGCCCTCCCTCTTACTCCCTGCACTGCTGCAGTCAACCGCCATCACGTCTGCACTGTTCTTCCACTCACAGTGGAGTCAACAGTCAAGTCTCTATCAAAAGGGGAAAATACAAAAGGCAGGTGTTTCACACTCCCACACACACACTAATGGGTAAAAGCATATTTCTAACAATAGGTCCTTTAACCCATTTACGTTTCCTGTTTCCAGTAATGTGCTGTGTGTCACCAGGCTGTAGGTAAATAATGCTGTATCCTAAAATTCTGAAGGAAAGAAGATCCAATCCACTCTTAGTACAGTCTTGGTACTAGAGAATTCACCACCACATGGCCTAGGAGTAGAGTCACTGCCCTGACCCAGATATAGAAGACAAACTTGCAAAAGGGCAAGAGCCAGTCAATTACATCGGCCTCTGCCAGGGCTCAAGGGCATAAAAAAATCAAAATATAAAAATCTGGTATAATTTCTGAGTCCTAGAGCTTGTGCTACTGGAAGCTAATGGTCAGACACAAGAAAAGTAAGTATAGCCGCACATGTGCCAGGAAAGCATGGAGTTCAAAATACGTGAATCCAAATCCCAGCTCCTCCACTTTGATTACGTATATATAACCATAAATGAGTGACCTACCTCTCTGAGTCTCAGTTTCTTCATCTGCAAAATGGGATGGCTACAATATACGCACAGTGCTTAGCACAGCACAGGGTGCATTGGAAGAACTCAGCAAATACCAACATTAAAATTAACAATAACAAACCAAGGAGTTAGCCAACTGCATGGAATGACCCAAGAGGGGTATTTAAACAAAAGCCAAATTTCACCCAGGCCACTCAATGTCCTCACCAAACAGGAAACCCGATAAGGAACACTCTCCTCTGTACAGGTGACCCCTAACTACAGCTCCTTTCTCACTGGAAGGTCCAGAATACCCGCAGACACAGTAAAGACCACCTTGGAGTGGGTCTATCTCCTGAGGCCCAGAGCTGTTCCCCACATCTTAATAAATACTCTCTTCACTTTAATTACTTATTCAACAAATATTCCAGAGCATCTACTATGTGCACAACACCAAGTACCCTGAAGAAGGCAAATCCTTATAAAACAATGTCCCTGCCCTCAAACAGCTTCCAGTCTAGACTGGGACAAATACCCCCACACAAAGGGACCACTGATGCTTCTGAGCAATAGGTACCACAGGAAGCAAGCAGGTGGAAGAGCAGTCAGGGGAGACTTCTGGAGGGGGTGAGGCCTGAGCTCAGCCTGAAGAGGGGCAGGATTCAGGCAGGCAGTGTGATGGCAGGCAGCACAGGGAAGAGAGGCAACAACAGGTACAGATGCAAAAATGGTTGCCGGGTGGGAATCGTCCGGTCTGGAGGGGCAGGGTTTTGTGTCGGAGACTCGTGGGACACACACACGCATACTGATGTTCAGACACGGACGCGTGCTGAGAGGGGAAAAAGAGGCAAACCCGGGAGACCCTTTATGCTTTTAAGCCTTCTTACCACCTTCACCTCTGGTTCTCAGACTGCTTCCACTAATGAATGAACTCTGATGAACTCAAAGGGCCTTTCTGAATAATTAACTAGCAAACCTGAAATAGTTTGCCACAAGTGGAAATGGGTTTTAATTAAACAAACATGACAAGGTTAAAGATGCTATGAGCAGCCAGGATCCAACCCTTATTTCATCTGGGCGGTATTCCTACAAAGAATAACATTAAAAGCAAGCAAACCAAAAGACATACCTAATTGTGCTTTGCAACTCTCTATCGTCTTGTCAAGATTGAGCTGGAACCTGCTGCGAATCTGCCGCTTGGGGGAGATGAGCGGAACGGGGGCGGACTGCTGCTGAACCGACTCGCTCAGCTCCTTCAAATCCATCTCGGCTTTGCTGCGGTCTGGAAGACATCATGCCACCCTTGTAAGACCAGGCACTCGGGGGATTCACAAACAACTGTCATCACTCAGCACCTCCTCACAAAGCCAGAGCCAAACATATACTTTAGGACACAACGATTAGAAGTTTCTTGTCATTTGTCCCAACAATATCATCTGTTCAACCTGGGGTGACTTGAAGATAATGGCCCAAATAAACATATCTGGCAGATTGACTCAGTCTACCCAACAGTCTGGGTTGCTTCGATACTTAACATGTACCATCTCAGTCAGATGGCTCCACGTGGCAACCTCAGCCTCATCAGTGATCCCTGAAAGCCAAAGGTTCCAGTAACATGTCTGTTATGAACTGAACTGTGTCCCCCAAAATAATGTGTTGTAAATCCTTGCCTCTATGCCTGTAGTTATAATTCCATTTGGGAATGTGTTGTCTTTGTTATGTTAATGAGGCAGGATTAGTATAGGGTGTGTATCTTGAGTTAATCTCTTTTGAGATATAAAAGAGATTAAACAAGTGAGCAAAACACACTACGGTAACCCACATGAAGGTCGTCGAGGAACAGAAGCTCAGAAGAGACAAGGACCCTCCACCAGAGTCGACAGAAAAAGCAAACCTTCCCCTAGAACCGTCACCCTGAATTTGGACTTCTAGCCTCCTCAACTGTGGAAAAAATAGATTTGTTTGTTAAAGCCATCCGCTTGTGGTATTTCTGTTAGAGCAACACTATCATATTTTCATGCAAATAACGTGCGCATTATACATGTTTTTTTGGAGGACAGGCCAACCGTGCAACTCCCTCGTGCAGTATTTTCCTAGACGTGCTATGCGTGTTGTATGTGTACGTACATAAGCGTTATCTATGTGGGTGCATTATTTGTGAACACAGTAGATAACTAATACAATGTCCAATCTCAGTATCAGCAGATATAGTCACATTGAGCCTGGCCAAGGTGTGCCTTTAACTCCAGGCCCAGACAGAGAGGGCTTGCACCCGAGAGACAGTGAGCCCCTGTGGTGTGATGGGAAGCTTTTATATGGCCTTTCTCGCCATAGTTTTGTAACACCTACCAAATGACTGGGTAGGGCTATGCAAATGAGGTGCTTGTGGCCCACCAAGGGGATTGGACGGCTTGCTAATAATGTAAATAAGGTGCGTGGCACCCTTGTGGTGGTGGGACCACGCAAAAAGGTGTATAGAACCCTCATGAAGGGATTGGCCAGTTTTGCCACCCAACTAGGCTTAAAGGGAGACAGAGAGAGTGAAAGAGAGGATCCACGCAACCAAGAGCTATTAATACTTGCCTGAGAAGGCCCCCAGCAGGGCCCAGGGGCAGAGGGCAAAAAGATGCTGTCCTGATGGAGGAACTGCATCCTAAGTTGTTGTTCCTGTTACTTCCAAGTTGATCCCAATCCCAAGTTGTACCCTGTTACTTCCCTAATAATTAACTGTAAGTATAGTTCGTGAGTTCTGTGAGACACTGCAGCAAATAACTGAACCCAAAGACGGGAGGGAGAGTACTGAGGAGAGGGGGAGTAGCTGATGTTAAAGATGATGGAGTGGGACAGCAGTTAAGTTAGACATTTGGGACATCTTTAACCTCCGCTTCATAGGAACCAGCTTTGTGCTGATCCTTCTAAAAGAAACTATTCATTTAGCCCCTCCCTGATAAGGGGGATGTCAGCTCACCACTCACCCTGCAAGCTCGTTTTTCGTTCTTAGTTAACCTAGTCTTGGGGCTCAGACTAGAAGGGGAGGGGAGAATATCACAGAGGCAAACCTTCCGGGCAGACTGCTATACTTCCCTTCGGCTGATAGCATCCGTTTGAGGAAAGTGAGTAGATTAGCGCTTGATATTTAACCTGTATCCAACAGGTCAACTCACCCAGGATCAAGAGTCCAAGCCCCTCACCATAATATCCAAGCAAAGACTTCTGAATGACGAATTAGCCTCAAGGTCCCACCCCTACCATTCTGCAGAGGGCTCTTTGTATTACCAATGCACCAGATTCCAAAAGAGGCGATGAGTTTGCATTTCTTCAATTCCTTTCCAAACTCCTCTGCTGCTGCCTATAAAACCCACTGCCAATTAGCTGATTTCAACTTACAGCAACCCTACAGAACAGAGGAGAACTGCCCCCATGGGGTTTCCAAGGCTGTAAATCTGTACAAGAGCAGACTGCCACCTCTTTCTCACGCGGAGTGGCTGATGGAGTCCAACGCCCAACCTTCTGGTTAGCAGACAAGTGCTTAACCACTGTGCCACCAGGGCTCCTCCTGCCTCCTCTAAACCACCAAATCAAAACCCAGGGCTGTCAAGTTGATTCCAACTCATTGCAACCGTATAGGACAGAGCAGAACTGCCCTACAGGGTTTCCAAGGCTGTAAATTCTTTTACAGAAGCAGACTGTCACCTTTCTCCTGCGGAGAGGCTCGTGGATTCAAACCACCAACCTCTTGGTTAGCAGCCGAGTGCTTGAACCACTACGCCACCAGGGCTCCTCTTGCCTCCTCTTAAAGAAAAACCAAACCAGTTGCCATCGAGTCGGCTCTGACCCACAGCCACCCTATAGGACAGAGAAGAACTGCTGACCTTTTGGTTAGCAGCCAAGCTCCTAACCACTGCACCACCAGGGCTCCAAATAGGGAATAATGCTGTTAATTTCCCAAGATGCCTGAGTGGTTACTTGGCCTCCTTTTGAGAAACTACATCTTCTCCAGTGCGGGCAGTGTTGGTGGGTCCAGGTGTCCAGACACCAGCCCTTTCCTGGCCAAAGGGCAGACACAGGACACTTGACAAGCATACTGGGGACTCTGCCCTGTTGTCCTGAGGAGACATGGATGAGCCCCATCCCACAGAACACACAGGTTTTCAGCCTTCCCACTGACATCAGGAGCCCCTAAAATTAAGGTGATTGCAAAGGCACAGAGAAAGATAAGACTTTCCAGGTAGGAAGTACCGTCTTACACCTTGCCTGCCACCCTCTGGCGTGACCCAAAGCAGAGAACGTGAGGCACGTGCCCTAACCCAATCCCAGAAAAGAGGTTGGAAAGCATGTGGCATCCAGACCAATGGACAAAGAGGAGAAGTCACCCCTACGCCTGTTCCCATCAGCTAGGAACTAGTTCCTCAGCCTTCCTGTCATCTCCTTGTGACCGCACCCCAAACACCCACTTCCTTTCATTAGACTGTTGAAGAGGCCACAGGGCATAGTCCGAGAGCTGGACTGGTACAAACCACTCAAAGCCTTCACTCTTCCCCTCGACTCTCGGTTTTGCTTTGTCTTCCAACATACTCCCAACACACCTCCCCTTCATCCTGTATGGGTGCATTCTCTTATATTATGCACCCATAGATCAGTTCTTTAAAGTGATCAGAAGCAGCCCCCTAAAGCCCCACCCAACCCAGTCACAACTGACCAGAAGCAAAACTGTTCCAACTTGATTTTATCATTCTAACAACATCCCCACCAAGGTAAGGTTATGAAGGACACTTTCCACAAAACATTCAGCAATCAGTCCCCCAGGAAGATTCCAGAACTGAGTGCTCAAAGCAAGCAGATGTACTCATCCTTGCAATTCAGGAAAAGCACCAAAAAAACACCTCTCTGAAGAGGTTAGAGACAGGACTGCATCACAAAGACGGCAGTGGGAATGCACAGCCACCTCTTCGGGTGAGAAGAATGTACGTTCAAATTTACTGGAGACAGGCCACGACCAGGGAGAAAACCCCGGAGTCGCCACCTGAGAGGAGTCAATTCCCCAGCAGCTGCTAAAGGAGATGCCTGCCCACCCATCCCCTGCCCCATTCATCATGCAGCCTGCTTCTGCAAAGTGCTACGACCAAAGGCACTATGTCTTTACAGAATTTTGTGTTGAAGACAGTGAAGATATTAATGTAAATTTTGAGAAATCCAAACTTATATTCAGTTGTCCTGGAGAAAGTGATAATTATAAACATTTACGTGAAATTGACCTTTTTTACTGTATTGATCCAAATGATTCCAGGCATAAAAAAGCGGACAGATCAATCTACGTTGTTTACGAAAAGGAGAATCTGGCCAGTCATGGCCAAGGTTAACAAAAGAAAGAGCAAAGCTTAACTGGCTTAGCGTGAACTTAAATAACTGGGAAGAGTAGAAAGATGATTGAGATGAAGATATGTCTAATTCTGACCGTATCTCTGAGATGGTGAACAACATGGGTGGTGATGAGGATGTCGACTTACCAGAAATAGATGGAGCGGATGATGACTCACAAACAGTGATGATGAAAAAACGCCAGATCTGGAGTAAGGAATACTGTCAGCAGCCGGGATTTTGAGAAAGAAAAATAACTTCTCTGCAAGATTTCATAATTGGAAAGAATTCCTGAGTTGACAGCTCTAAAAAGGCGGATGCTGTATTTGCCTTCTTTATCCCATGTTTCAACCTGTTTGTTTGTTAAAAGCCTTCACTAAAGGTTAGTAAGCACCACTGTATGGGGACAATTTTAAGTCAGCTAAAGCCTGAACATTTCCCAGACATCCATGAAGCTGTTGAGGTCTTAGGCAATTAATACAGCAGTTGTAATAAATAAAACATTTCATCTAAGTCTCCTTTACTTCATAACATAGATACTGACGTGATAGGAAGCTCTCAGCTTAGAGAAAGGCCACTAAATTTTAGATTTTAGAACTTGGGCTCAAAGTAGCTGAAACAAATCAGCTGACACCTTACACTGGTAACCTGCTGTCCCTCTGATTGTTCAGCTAAATTTTTCAAGAAATTTACTTCACATTATTGTAATCACTTCTCAGTGTTCCAAATGTATCTTAGCTAAAACTAGTGAATGCCCTAATTTAGATGGTTTTTGAAGCCTGTACATTTGGTATTGACTCTAAGCTTCTACATCTCTTAGCACGGAGGACAATGACTGTACATTGCTGCTTGAGGAGTCTGTACATTTAGACCAAATCTGTATGTACACCATCAGTATGGCAAATGAGTAAAAAATGTTAATAC